ACAATATATGAAGAGAAAAGCACTACAATTGTTAATATTAAAATATACACATTAAATTCGCAAACACATGTCTATGTATGCATAAATGTGCTTCAAGATTTATATACAATATGCTATTATACCGCACATTTTGGCGTGCAATATATTATTATAGATGCATCCATATATTTAGATCTTGCTAAAACTATCAATATTATTTTTGTTCAATTCTAACGGAATAATTTAAATAAACATGATAATATTTATAGAAAATTTATTTATGAAAATAGTTTCAAAATATATATTTCAAAGTCATTCTTCAATAATTTATATGATAAAATTTATCTTTTAAATATATAAAATTTTATCAGACAACAAAAATCTCTCTTGCAAAAATAATTTAAGATTGAAGTTTAAGTTATTGTAGATAATAAGTTATATAACGAGATATATTTGATTGGTTAAAAGATGTTATCTGCATAATATATGAACAAGGATTTTTCAGAAGGATTAAAATTTATGTTTAATCAAAATAATAGCTTTGGGGAATCTGTCTTTTAAGATATTTTTATATTCTTAGTGGTATTTTTATATAACTGACCAATTATTAAGTATAATTAATAGTATAAAATATTATTTTATACCACTTATTATTAATAGTTACATACATGTATATTTTTTTAGTATGAAATATATATATGTATTATTTTTAGATAAAGTCGTATATTTTACAATAGAAAATATATTTATCTAAAAATGTGTTTTTCAAGCCTACTTTTAAAATTGTATAAAAAGTAGATTCCTATAAACTTCTAATCTATAACTTATATGTCTATTATATCTAATCTATAACGTATATATTTATTATAAATCGAAATTGAAATATTAAAAAGGTGATAAAATCGATTTAATGAAAGTAATTTAATAAATATGGATGCGTCACTTTCTTTTTGACAGATTTAAATCATAACACATTACATTAATCTGTTTTATATATCTTACTTCTGGAAAAGGATACGTTAATTATTTTACAGCAACTTTGTTATCATTTTAATCAATGGAAGGAAAGAAAAAGGCTTTCGAAGCAGCCTAAAAGCATGCTCGCAATGTATTCATTTGCACCTATATGTATAAATCTACGTGCATACAATGCGCACATATGATTCGGTCATGCGCACATGATACACGTATGTACAGCTGTCTATTTAACCGCGTCTTAAGAGAAAGGGAGATCTCCAGTAGAGGGGGAGAAAGACGGTGTACATCAGTAAGACTCTGTCGACTGCACGACACTTATTTTTATGCCCGCTCATTTGCACCCGCTTATGGTCGGGCACGTGCTACCCGGATCGATGAAGCGTAGTCTGCATTGTGTCACATTTATAAATCATAAAAGCACTTAATATACATCGGGCAATTCTCATTATTTCTCTCTTTTCATTTCAGGGATAATATTCTGCATTTCATCTCCGTCTAATTAAATAAAGCATCTTCTCTAAATTTAATCTACTGTTCAATTAATAAAATTGTATCAATCTTTAAGCAGCATTGGATTTAAATTTTGTTATATCTTTAGTTATATTTTTTTCTCTGTTTGTTATATTTTTATCTCTGGAGGGAGTTTCTTTTATGTTTTCAGATATTATTTATAAAAGAATGTGATCTTTTTATTCTTTAAATTTTACTCAATCGTGACATTTTTGTAATTTATGCAAGAAGAAAAAGAAAAAAACTAATATAAAATACATAAAAAAATAATACGAATAAAAGGTACGCTCTTTGATCGGTGCACAATCGCGCTGGCCTTCTTTCATTGCATATTACAAGATACCCGGAAGGCATCGCGTTTAGCCACGAAAACCGCGGTAACATCGCTTAAGAGGCTCAAACCCCGTACCCCATAATAGCGGTATGGCGCATCGAAAATTTAAAATTACATTGACGACTCACTCCGTTCACGTCCGCGATAAACATCACTCACCGAGGCCCTCGAGTCGATGTCGATGGCGCAAACCGACCGATAAACCGTAATAAACCATAAATTAATGATCTTCGGGACGGCAATAAATAATAATTTTATCCCCCTCCCCTCGAAGAAAAAAGAAGTGCCTAAGCTGGGTCAATATTATTGATGTTGATTGGTCGTCGGTCTGTTTGCTGAGTCAATTTAGACACAGACACAGATACGAATTCAGCGAGAAAACGTGATTTGTGACATCCATCGTCAATTTGATGGATACTAGTTTATCATTACAGTTCATTGTGTATGTAAAATATGTGAAACGTAATATAATAAATAATAAACGTAATATAATAAATAATAAATAGGTTTATAGCATGCATAAGAAGAATTTTTCGTGATTGTCAATAGAAAAGCATTTTTCAGAATCTCAAATATATGAAATTATCTATACACAAATTATCTATACACAATGTTTATTTTCAAGTGTTTAATATGCATCTATATAAATGCAAATATACATAAAATAGAATCATGAATTTTCAATTTATTTTTCTCTCAAGTTACACCTTTGCACGATTACGCGTTCTCTTTTAAATTACAAATCGTATAGAGCATAATTGGACAAAATAAAACCGCATCTGTGGTCTTCGCCTATAATGATCATTCTCGCACAATATTTCCGAATTATTCATATTTCTGGGTATAATATATGAGGATGCGCTATCTTTAATCGAGAGACAAAAGAGAAGAACGCTAAAGCCCAATGACTCGCGCTTTTCCAGACTAAAAGAACGTCGGACAGCTGGCACAAGGTGCCTCCTGCCCCCTCTTGTTACATTCCCTTGCCGAAAGTACGTTCGTTGGACGTAAATTCTGTGTTTCTTCTTCACTGCCACGTGCCAACCGAACCCCTGAGTTCACCGAGCGTAAAAAGCTCGATGCTGTCAAATTCGTCGCTTATAATTAACGGATGAACGTTATGAGGTCAAAGAGCGGTTTTATATTGATACTTTAATACTTATTTTCTCAAAGTCAAACGGATGTTTTACTCTTCACTACGTTTAAATGAAATTATATATATGTTCTCTCTATTTTTGTTGTCGTATAACGAATAATAATATAATAAAGAAGCATAATGTGCATATTTTTATAGTGAGAGAGAGAGAGAGAAAGATTTTGTTATTATTATTTAAATAATCGAATGATATATTGCAAACTAAATTTCTTTTTACAAATATTTATTTAATGAAATTTTGTAAAATAGATCTATTTGATATTTTAATAATAGCTTAAATTATTGCATTTTGTTTTATTATTTTTTAATTTTATCAAAACTCTTGTAATTAAAAGAAATGAAAGTAAGAAAGCTCTCTTTGCATTTTAATATGTTATTATATTTAATTAATAAACAAAAATGTCTACAATAATATTTCTGTTATATTTTATAAAAATAAGGTATTATTTTCATAAATTACGAGTAACTTTTTTGAGAATAATAAGTTTATAATCTTACAAAAGTTTAATTTAATTATTTTATTATAAGTTGATAAGATTAAAAATCTAAGATTTATAATTCTTTTTTTTTTGGAAAGATAATAATTAATTACTATATTAATAAGAATTAATACGTAAATTTGTTTATAATTTTCATTAAATTTAGTAATTTTATTTAGACTTTACGTTAAATTACGTTTTAATTTTAATTAATATATTTAATTTTAATTGATATTTATATTTTTTAAATAATATTAAAATAATTATAATATTTATAATAGTTATAATATTATAATATATAAAAATTATAATATTTATAATATTATAATATTTATGTCAATAATTGAAACAATTCTTTGTAGAAGAGAGGAAAAAATTATCTTTTTCCTTCTTAAGCATTAATATTTTTGTTTATTTAGATACATCAAAGTTTTTATTTAATTTTTTATTTATTTACTATTTGTTTATATATTATATCAATCATTTTATTTAATTATATATACAAATTATATATACATATATATATATATATATATATATATATATATATATAATTATATTCATTACGAGACTATTCATCTTTTTATCTGATATAAGAATTTATGTAGGAAAAAAATTCATATATGGAAATTTATAATACTTGTGTTGTCATCTATAGAAATTTAAACGAAGATCTCGAAAAAATTTTAATTATCAAATGAGATTATCTTGGTAGGTCCAAAGATAGTTAGAAAATTGATATTATCGATTGTCGGTAACATAAAAATATGAATTTATTCCAACTCAATGAGATTGATTTCATATGTATATAAAGTATATGAAATTCATTCAGAAATTATTTTATTATTATTATTTCAATCTAATTTTATTAATATTAATATATAAGAGAAATAAATAAATTAATTAAAACCTGCCAATATAGATAATCAATATTTTTTCCATCATTACTTATCACTTTCATGATTAAAAGTTCGCCATCTTATTTTATTCTACAAAAGCGATCTCAAACATCGACTTTTGATTGATTAATTTATTAATTTATTATTAATTTATTTATTACTTTATTGATATTATAATTGCAATATTCAACAATTTATTTATATCATAATTGTAATAACGCAGTCTATCAAAATATAAAATTAGAAAATGACATAATACATACTTATCTATCTGTAACATTATTCACAAATATTATAATATATTTATTAATTGCAGAATAACATACCTGGTTATACATTATAAAATTATTACATTTCGGCGAGAAAATAATTGAAGAAAATGGAGACTGCCCATTGGATTCACGCACAGAAACAGATCATCGATAACGAAATTACTATAACGCTTGTAAGATCGATCTTATACAATCAATACATTAACACGTCACGACACGCAAGACCCATGATACTTTACGAGAGATTCACTGATTTAATAACACTCGCGATTTTAATAACACGCCCGTGTTCCTTGACCGTAATTTCGAAATCTATCGAAAGGCTGTACTCCGAGAATCGAAATATCGACGCGTAATAATCGACTCGATTGCGAGGGCGCCCCGAAGCTTCCCCCCTCTGCCGGAGGTCGAGTTTATGAGCGACTGGGGTGCTGGGGTAACCGATGGATGCGCCGTGCATCATCACGAAGAAACGTCAAAATGAGAGCACCCTCGTGATAGCTCGCGGCGCGCAGTGCAAGTCAAGGTCCGCGCTTTAGCACCCCAATCCCGAGGAACGTCAACGGACAGCGACGTTGGCAGCGTCCGATGTCCCGCGACAGGCATTCGCGCTGACGCGAAAACGGCGAGCCGAAAGCGAGTCGAGTTGAGTGACAACTCTCTTGTTGATATCGTCTGGCGGTTCCGGAGAAAGCAAAGTGTGTACACGCTTCCTGGATCTTAATGATTTTTCACCTGTACATTACGCTACTTATGCCTGTCTGTCCCCCTAGGATCGTGTAAATTACTTCCTCTTTCACTCGTGTGTCAGTCCTTTTCCAGACGAAGAGGCTTGAGAAATATTGCGAAAGATTGTTTACTTATGAGTCATTCGGAGCTTGGATTGTGACAGTAATATATTTTAAAAAAATCTTTTTTCTGACGATTTACATTATTCGTCAAAATTTTAATGACTGTGAATGAGAGTTTAATATTTTTTCTGTATCATAGTGCAATATTTTGTTTTGTAAATATTAATCTTTAAAATTAACGTTGTTTCTATAAATGTCTTAAATTATGAAATATTTTTTCTGTATTGTAGTGCAATATTTTATTTTGTAAATGTAAATCTTTAAAACTAACATTATATCTATCAATGTTTTAAATTACTAAATATGTAATGTAGAAAAGATCTGAAAAAAAAAGTATAAAAATGTAAGAAACAATTTTATATATGGTTCTTTAAAAAAAAAAAAAAAAAAACTTATGATTTGCATTATGAATTAGCGATAAATTGATTTTTAAAGTCTGTATCTCTGGATGACTCATGCTTGTCACAAAGCCTTAATAGATTACAATATTTCATATATACTTCTCTCTGTATATATTGTTACATCTGCTCTCTTACAACAAAACATATACAAGATATACATAATTTTTCTACAAATGTAAAGTAGAGAATAATATATAAATAACAAATATAATATCTGATTTAATGATGTATATTTCACGTAACATCACATACACATCATCTTGTCACTAGGAAAACTACAACATTAGGGGACCTGCTGCAGGCACATTTGAGACCTGCGGTGGTTGGTGAATGGTGTTGCAGATAGATTCCGTGTGGGGCTGGGCGTCACCCCCGCTGCGCCTCCAGCTGGCCGGGGGGACCAGGGGTGCCTCGGGGAGAGCAGCTGTGGGTGTCCCATCCTCGCAGAGGATGGGTGAAATAGCTGTAGAACGCGCTCCTTCCCCAGCACGCCTCAGTCATACTTCTGAGAAGCATCCTCGTGCAACTCTAACCGAGCTTAATGTTCTTCGGCGTCATCGGGAGCTGTGCGATGTCGTTCTCAATGTTGGCTCCAGAAAAATATTTGCACATCGTGTCATTCTCTCAGCATGTAGCCCATACTTCAGGTAATGTGGTATGCAATTAATATTCTTCTTATTACTTAAGCATTGTGGCAAGAACCTATCGTAATATTGTATAACGCAAGTTAAATTTCTATCATTCAGGGCAATGTTTACTGGGGAGTTGGCGGAATCTAGACAAACTGAAGTAACGATACGCGACATAGACGAGATGGCTATGGAATTACTCATAGACTTTTGTTACACTTCTCACATTATCGTCGAAGAAGCAAATGTTCAAACTCTCCTTCCAGCAGCGTGCCTTCTTCAATTAGCAGAAATTCAAGATATATGTTGCGAATTTCTCAAACGCCAATTAGATCCGTCAAATTGCTTGGGCATCCGAGCATTTGCGGATACCCATTCGTGCCGCGAACTTCTGCGAATTGCCGATAAGTTTACTCAACATAATTTTCAAGAAGTACGTGCGAGGAAAATAAACGTTAATTAAATTCGAATTTTTTAATATTTATGAGTTTATGTATACTTTTCAGGTAATGGAGAGCGAAGAATTTTTGTTACTACCTGTTGGCCAATTGGTGGACATTATTTCATCGGACGAACTAAATGTACGTACGGAGGAGCAAGTATTTAGCGCCGTGATGAATTGGGTCAAGTATAACGTCACGGAAAGACGACAGCATCTATCTCAAGTTCTGCAGCACGTGCGATTACCGCTGCTTAGCCCGAAATTTTTAGTCGGCACCGTTGGATCCGATCTGTTAGTTCGTTCCGATGACGCTTGTAGAGACTTGGTGGACGAAGCGAAGAATTATCTGCTTCTGCCACAAGAAAGACCGTTGATGCAGGGACCCAGAACGAGACCCAGAAAACCTACGAGACGAGGAGAGGTGTTGTTCGCCGTTGGTGGATGGTGTTCGGGTGATGCCATTGCTAGCGTCGAAAGATTTGATCCTAATACTGCCGATTGGAAAATGGTCGCACCTATGAGCAAACGAAGATGCGGAGTAGGCGTAGCGGTATTAAATGATCTGTTATACGCAGTTGGCGGACACGACGGACAAAGCTACTTAAATAGCATTGAACGATATGATCCACAAACGAATCAGTGGTCTTGTGATGTAGCGCCTACCACCTCTTGCAGAACCAGTGTGGGTGTCGCTGTGTTGGATGGATTTCTATATGCAGTTGGTGGCCAGGATGGAGTACAATGCCTTAATCATGTGGAAAGGCAAGTGTCTAATTAATAAATTAATTTTCCAATCGACATTTGACATATAAATATGTAAAATAATGCTTAATGTATCATTTTATAGATATGATCCTAAGGAAAATAAATGGTCTAAAGTGTCGCCAATGACTACCAGAAGATTAGGAGTGGCGGTTGCTGTGCTCGGAGGTTATTTATATGCCATCGGCGGGTCTGATGGACAATCACCTCTCAACACGGTAGAAAGATATGATCCGAGACAAAATAAATGGTCCCAAGTGTCACCGATGTCTACGAGACGTAAGCATTTAGGCTGTGCTGTATTTAATAATCTAATTTATGCTGTGGGAGGACGAGACGATTGTATGGAACTCTCCAGTGCGGAACGTTACAACCCGCATACGAATTCCTGGAGTCCTATAGTAGCGATGACATCTAGGAGAAGTGGAGTAAGTTTATTTATTTTTTCTTTTATTTATTATGTGTAAAATATAAAAATATATGGAACATGCCGCATGATTTGCTTGCAAATAAGCTATTAATGTGTGTGTATATTTAAATCACTTTATGATTCATACATAACTTTGCATAATATTAAATTAAATACCTAACATGAATATTAATATTTGTCATGAATTTTAGGTAGGTTTGGCGGTAGTAAATGGTCAGTTGTACGCGGTGGGTGGATTCGATGGAACTGCGTATCTAAAAACAATCGAAGTATACGATCCGGAACAGAATCAATGGAAGCTATGCGGTTGTATGAATTATAGGAGACTTGGCGGAGGTGTGGGAGTAATGCGAGCTCCACAAACTGAGAATTACATTTGGTAGCTCAGGCCCCCCTCTTCAGCCCAAATGGCTGAAACTCCTCTAACTCCTCTTACACCGATAACGCCAGTTACACCTGTAACCCCTCCCGCCCCTGTATCGGTTCCTGTTGTTATAACTAATACTAGAAAACGCTACCGCCGATCGATGAGCATTATATAAGTAATATATGCATTTTGTAAAAGACTTTGCCTTTCTAAAGTTTCATGAGAACATCTTGCATCCAGATTTTTGTGTTTAATTTATTAGTAACTTTAAATTTTTATCTCTTTCCAGCTCATTCCAGCATAGATTGTGCGTAGAGAAGATGCGGATATTCCATCGATTTACTGCCGTTATTTTATATTTATATTACATCACATTATTTTACAGGACTTTTCGTCAATGTTATTTGTATTTTATTATATTATATAATATATAGATTCTAATTATTTAGATTTATATGCCTAAAATATTCTTAAAGAAATACCTGGTCTATCTTACAGATAGGATTTTAAATAATGTTTTTCTTATATGAAGAAAAAGAAAGGCAAAATCTCTTCCCTAACTTTGCCAGAAACATACATATTTTGAAAAAAATATATTTCCAGCTTCCATTTTACGTGAATGATCGAAATAAAAATTTACGTTGTCAGTCGTAGTCATAATTTTAAAGGGTTGCTTCTATGCCCAATAATACAAAAATGTAATATAAGATATGATAATTTCTCTCTATGTAAGGCTAGACTGCTCTTTTAAATACATGGATACCTTTTTTGTTTATAAGACTGAATCTCAACCAGAAAATATTAAAATATTAAACTGTGAAACAGTTAAAAAAAGAATTTCTTGTAAAGATAATAAATTATATCATTTGCTGCTAACAATTTGTACTTTTCTGATTTAAGGCATTTATTATATGTTATCAACGATTTATAACAAATGCCAAGAAGCACAATATGTATAATATTTAAGATTATATATTATTTAAACACGACATTTGAAATTGTTTTTTCGTGTTGCTGCAGGAAGATGCCATTTATATATAACCAACATCCGTTATATATCTTTAAATCTACAGAGGAGTAGCCTTATCGTACAAAATGGTGATAGGGATCATTGATCAATAATCTCATAATGTAACACATTGTAATTATGTAATAAGAATCAACAACATTGATTATATAATGATCAAATTGTTTTATAAATAATAACGAGTATTGTGTGTTTGCAATTTATTTTAGTAAAAATTGATCAATTGTATTATCAGAATGATTTAAAAGAAAAACGCTTAAATGTCGCTGTTACATTTATGAGATTGTTGAAGGCAGCAAAATGCATGTCTAGTGTAAGAACATATTGACGATGTAATGTAATTCTTTCTAAGCAGCTGGTTGCAGATATAATTATTCCAATTTACTGGTTATCGAATAACCATTACAATGACTTATTAGTACATTTCTCAATTAACTGCTGGACTATTCTATATAGTCAATTATTATATGTTTAAGTTATATACTTAATACTCGTGATACTATAGAAGAGAAATCATGGATTACTGTTCAGTTAATCAAACTAGACATTAAAATGGTACAAATTATATTGTAATGCGCGAACAAAGTTCAAATAAGTGTTCAATATCCAATCTCTGAATCTTATCTGATTTTGAAGAAGTTGGAGCCCTATATCTGAGAAAAAAAATGTATTATTATTTCCACAATATTTAACATGCATATTATTAGCTGATTAATTTTAACTCTTATGTCAAAACTTATACATAAGAGACATTGTATTGAGCTTTAATACAATCAGTTTCCCATAAATGAGAAATATCGAAAGTGATTATATTATTAATTATTGCATGCAATAATTCTGAGTATAAGACACAAAGTGTTAATGCAAATATATTGTTTTCTCATCTTATTAAACGAGATCAAAAGCTTATTCTGTACAATTGTTCAGTACAAAGGAAGAATCATAGGATTTCTTTCCTGTTCTTTGTCAATAAATTAAAAAAAGTGTGCATTAGAATTTGCGTAAACCATTATGTATACTGTTGTCTTGTATATAAAATATCCTGCTATTTCTTCTCCTGGAATAACAATTTTTTTAAGACTTTTTCTTTTTATAAAGGAGAAATGCAAACTTAATGCAGAGATTTTGCGGAATTATAAATGTTACATAAACATGATTTATTATTTTGAATAATAGAGAAATTTGATAATTCATTATTTTGTTGCAGATTAAAAAAAAAGTATTACAAAGGTTAGGAAAAATTTATAAACTATCGTTATATTATGTGCATGTATTTAATACATATTTACACACATTTTCATGTGAGGCTACTGTAAAAATCCATTACTAATATTAATAACCTATATAATTTTTAGTAAAAAAATGATACATATGTTGAAAAAATAAACTGCTCAAAATTTATGAAATAAAATACTAAATGAGCCATATAAAAATTTAATACTATTAAAATTTCAACACTTTCTTCCTTTGTATTGAAACTTACATCCCAACTTTCAAAGTGCCATTTTGTTTTGGCAAAAACATGTTTTTTTATATATTACTGATTAAAAATCTAGAGTAATTTTTGAAAGAATTCATGAACTATTTTTTTTCTTTAGAAATATTTTACGAAAAGGATATAATAAGAAGCTTTTAAATTAAAGCTCCAAGCAATGCGACATACATACATATATATAATACCATATGATATGAGTCACGAAAAGTACATACATACGTCCTTACTTGCATGCCTCTGTACTTTTTTTATAATTCTCTCTTTTTCCCTCCAACACGTGCACGTGGGTTTATCTCATTTTGAGTGCAGAAAGTGCGTAAGATGGCGCAGTTGAAAGGTGCAAATCTATATATGACGTATGTACGGCATAAGTCAAATGCGAAGGGGATATGGCGACCGTGGTGTCGTAGAAGTTGGTGAGCTGACTTTCGATTTCCACCTGGACTTACATGCTCGTGTCTCCCGTAATCGAGAGTAATCGTAAAGTATACAGTAGATTGAGGAGAGCACGACACGATGAGCTTCTTCAGCAAAGTTTTCGGCGGCAAGAAGGAGGCGGCTGCTCCTTCGACGGCCGAGGCGATCCAGAAACTGCGGGAGACGGAGGATATGTTGATAAAGAAACAGGAATTCTTAGAGACCAAAATAGATAATGAAGTGCTGATAGCGAAGAAGAACGCGTCGAAAAATAAGCGAGGTATTAATAATAATTCTCGGCTTTAAATTTGGATTTGACGACACAACTGTCATCGCGTGACAGTTTATTTATTGTCATTTCATTCATAATTCACAGCGGTGGGGATTATTCTTTTATTTTGTGACCTAATATACATACTCTTATATGAATTTAATTTGCCATGTATGAATAGTAGTTTGATGGAGCATTAACGGTATCATCTGTTTTCAGCTGCTATCCAAGCATTGAAGAGGAAAAAGCGATATGAAAAACAGTTACAGCAAATTGATGGCACGCTATCTACGATTGAAATGCAAAGAGAGGCACTGGAAAGTGCAAACACAAACACTGCCGTTCTTACCACCATGAAGGGTGCCGCAGATGCAATGAAGGCTGCGCATCAGCATATGTAAGATATATTTTAGTTACATGATTATTGGTATATTCGAAATAATATAAGAGTAATAATTGTCTATTTGACAATCATAATTTATGCTCCTATTTGTATTAGAGTGTAATTATTTTGTTTTTATTTCAGGGATGTTGATCAAGTGCACGATATGATGGATGATATAGCAGAGCAACAAGATGTGGCTAGAGAAATTTCCGATGCTATATCTAATCCAGTAGCGTTTGGCCAAGATGCCGATGAAGATGAACTAGAAAAAGAGTTGGAAGAACTTCAACAAGAACAGCTCGACAAAGAATTACTTGGTATTGATACAACGACAGATGAACTGCCAGCAGTGCCGACTTCAGTCCCTGTTGCACCAAACAAAACCCGCACAAGTAACTATTATTTTAAGCCACATTGCTACTGTAGGAAAATTTTAATCAATTTGATACAAAGTCAATAAGTCAATAATTATAATTTATGGCATAATAATTTATTATTGACATTACAATATAAAACATTGTAATTTTATTTTTAGAAGCTAAACCAGAAGAAGATGAGGACTTAAAAGAATTGGAAGCTTGGGCATCGTAAAGTGATTAAAAGTGACATTGAAATCAAAGATACAGGACGTTTTTAGATAAATGTAAATTATATATTATTATTACCACCATAATGTGCATAATATTATATCATTTATCTTGCATTAATTAAATAACTGATTAAATTAATTTTTTAATGTAAGTCCGCATTGTTTAGCTTTTTAAGCAATTTAAAAAAAAAAGAAAGCTATCGAAGTTAATAATTAAGCTTTGGTAAAGATTATATTGCTTGTATTTTTATGCTGACAAATATTAACAATTGAACAGCAACAAATATGGCTGAATAAGTATCAGTGAATAATGGCGAGAGATTGAGTAGATATATATTTTATATTTACAGTAAATATATTGATATAATAAATGGAGATTGAAAAGAGAAAACGATATGAGAAACGATGAATGCAATTCATGTAATATAAATCCTTGTAAGAACGATGAATGCAATTCATGTAATATAACTGTAAAGAAACAAAATAACGCAGCTTACGTATATTATGTGAAAAAATTGATAGATTGTAAGTCTAATACATGTAATGAAAATAGATCGAGCGAGACTTCTATGCTTAGAATATTTTACAATAATAGTGAGAATCAAATAAAAAAAAGGGAATCTAATAAGACGAATCTTATTTTCATTCATTCGCATCTTTTGCTCAGCAGTTTTGACTATCCTTATTTTTTTAAGTAGAAAGATTCGTCTTAGGGTGCATTCGGAAATTTTACATGTGAAGTAGAATAGCATTTAATTGATTCACAACAGACATTTTTTTTTCTCGATGATCAATTAAAAATCTAGGACTAGTTTTACGAATTTTTACGTTTCTGTATCTCTCTCTCTCCTCCCCCCCCCTCTCTCTTTTTCTTTTTATCTTTCTCTTTCTACTTTCCATGTGTTCTTCAGATTGCAATTTGAATTGTAGTAAAAAATTTATAAGCGAATATTAGGAATAATTCTACCGCTGAATCACACAACGTTTCTTATTAGCATATTCCTGGTCGTCTGCATATATAAATTTCTTACAATACTTTATTTATAAGCTGTCTCTTGCACACATCTCTTTTTTTATTAATTTAATATTAAATTTAATGTTAGAATTAATTTTTTAAACAATTTATGAAGAATCAATTTTTTAAATAATCTCTAAGTATCTATATAAATAGATATATTTTTGTGTGAATTTAAGAAGTTAGATTATTGAATTATTAATATTTTCTTTGTGCAATTTATGTAATTATATTTCGTTAATATCGTATTATTTATAAAATCGCGGATTTCAACGATGCAGATGATGAGAATAATATAATATCGAATCAGAGTTTCAAGACGAATATTGTTTTGTTAAATATTAACAAAGCTATTGATGATGTCGAAAAATTAAAAAGGATTATAATAAAATATATAAAAGTCCTATGTAATTCTATGCGCATAAAAAGATACCTACATAAAAAGATACTCTAGCAATATATTACGTAACGTATTTTTTTAGAAAGATTAGAATTCTGGTATATATTCAAGAGTTAGGCACAAGAGCGTTGCAGATAATAATGTATGCTTCTGTAATGATAGAATTAAAAAGAGAAACAGATCTATATTGAAAATTATTGTGAAAAAATTAAAGCAGCTAAAAATTTCTATAATTATACGTTACTATCTGCTTGATAACGATTTTAAAAATTAGGGCATTGATGAACTTATAATTATAGATTATATTATTATAGACCATTAATTGCATTATAAATTTTAGAACTAGATTTTTTTCTGTTAATGTAAATTATTTTTAAATACAAGAATATATATATTTTCGTATTATTTTTAAATACAAGAATATATATATATATGTTTCTTGAGAATTACAAAATATAAAAAATTATTGTTATTCTTAAAGCAAAAAGTTATTCTTTATCTTATCTTTATTATAAAAGATTTATTAAATTTGCATATAATTAGAAAACATACAATAAAAATATTTTATTTAAACAAGTTATTTAAACATAAACTTTCACTAATTAATAAAATTTTTATCAAGAATTCTTGTCATATATTAAAATTGTATTTGTATATCTAGATATATGTACTACATATCTTTAAAACGTCATATTTTAATTTTGTTTAGTTTGCTTAATTGAGTTTTTTTACACAATATCGAACACTGCTAATTTATTCGACATTTAAATATACATTCACTTATAAAAAACATCAATGCTTCGAAATTAAACAAAATCATTAAAAATATATTATCAATATAGAATTTCTTATCATTTTTCTCCATTATCTCTCATATGTTTATATTATTATAATAATTATTTTATTATATATATATATATATATATATATATATATATATATATATTAGAAGAGTAAATATTGCCATATATAACTTGTCTAATTTGTAACAATTAATTAATATATATATATATATATATATATATATATATATAATATTTTTATAACATTATATAATATATAATTATTTTATTATTATATTATTCGCTTGCATATATTAAATTAATCATCGCGGAATATTTTATCATTCAATGATATGCCATCTTTCCTGTATTAGGAACAGAGACTGCGCTATGTCGGGATGCTGGATGATCAATACTGTCACACCTTGGACCAAAGATCCGAATCAAGAAAGAACGTATTGTCTAATAGCATCATGGTAACGCATACCTGTGTAACAGGCATCGCCGGTGAGTATATTTTTCAATTTTGTGCATTATTTTATACGTATATCTTTTCGATTGTTTAAATGTTAGACAGTTATTAAAGGACGAATGATCAATTGCTCGAAACGCACTACCAACCTCAAACGTTGTTCTGTATAAAACTCCGTAAGGGAACAGTTAAAAAAAATTTATATCACTTGATGATACATATTATAATATAATTATTTAATATTGACACAAATTTTCCTAAAAAAATTGTATAATTTTTATTTAAATTATATTTTTTTTATTTCATTGGAAAAATGTAACTTATATTTAATGATGTCGAATTAAGACAAATTGAAAGATGGGACAAAATCTCAAGAAAAGTCTTGATTTCCAATGTTTTATTATACAGCTACAATACGTGCACAGAATAAACTTAAAGATTTAATTAAAAAATTAGTCTTTATATATATGCGTGTGTATGTAAACTAACTTTTTAATTAAATCTTTAAGTGTGTGTATTTATATTTATCACATATATATATATATATATATATATATATGTATATATATATATATATATAATATTTATATTAAATAATATTTATAATAATATTGAAAGACTTAAAGATTTAATTAAAAGATTATTATTAAGTTATTTATTAATTTATTAAAATTATATGTTGTACATAAAAAAATTATATATATAATTTTAATATATTAATAAATTAATAAACTAATTTTTAAATTAAATCTTTAATCAATTATTCATGTGCTCGTTTAAACAAGAATGATTTGTCTTCGTGCAATGATATCATATTCGCATAAATTACAGATCTACCCACTGACGAATCGATCGAAGAAATTGCCGAATCAGTGGATGAATTGCGAGAGAAGCTCGCCAATATGAAAAAGCTCATGGAAGAGCGAAAAGGCACGACACTGGGAGAAATTAGTGCCCGAAAAAGAAAAGAAACTTCCGACATAATAGACGGCAATTTTTTGTCCTGGATTTTCGGATCGGTGCTCTTAGTAATTTTAAGCGTGAGCTTTTATGCCTTCTATAATCTTTATCACGCAGTGCTGAAGAAATTTCCGTCCCATCATACGGAATTATAAAAAGATGTACGAAAAAATGGGAAGAAATTCAAAATTGGAATTTTCGTATAAACATTCTATTAAAAATTCCAAAAGCGGCCTCTTTTAATTTCCTTTTTAATGTTAGAAAACAAAATACGAACAATTCCAAAAACAACAAATTTTTTCACTACATATATACAAATTTTTCAATCGATTAATAATAGATTTTTTTCACGTAATTTGTCAGAGAATAATTAATGATTGAAAAAGCTAGTGAATTAAAATTAATAAAAGGAAATAGATGACAATGTATATTCAATTAATTTTACGGTTTACTTAATATAAATTTAATTTGAAGCTTAATTATAAAAATATGTAATACGTAGGAATTTTTTAATTCTTTACAAAAATATAGAAAAAATTTAAAAAATATGATAAATTTTTTTTCGATATTTTTTTGAAGAATAATTATCGCCAGATCAATCAAAGAAGTTTTATTAAAAATTAATAAAATATATTTGATGATTAAATGAGAAATATATCAGGCATTATTTAATTATTGATTATTGAATTTTAGGAAAATATCGCAAATTTAATTCAAATTAATATGTTAATAATATGCTTTGTCAGTGCGTGAATGAAATTCGTGAAATTTAAATTACAAATATTGAAAAGAATTAAAAGATGTTGATGGCGAACCGTATATTTCTGGGAAATAAAATGTGATGTAAATTTTAGACAGAGAAGAGATATTTATTTTATCTATTTAGATAGATAGAATTTGTGGTGATAAAAGATCCGACAAATTTTTTTTAGTATTTCAAATTAAGTGCCTTAAAAAAATTATGAATTAAATGTTCTGCTATGTGTTATAATGTTATAATGTTTATTATATATGTATATGTACATGTATAAACAAATTTATTTAGTCAGTCACTAATTTGAAACTTCTATTAAATTTGAAATAAATCAGGTATATATTATCTCAAGTATCAACATAAAAAATACTTAATATATTATTGAATTAAATTTGAAAAAAAAGAATTCTCACTTTTATATAATTAATTGTTATTGTCTCACTAATGCGACAAGTTAAATGATAAGTTCTTTCTACTGATAAGTTCTTTTTCTACTAAATATCGCTATACATGTAATGTGAATAAAAAATTAAAACCAATATTTTATTTCATAGTTTTAGAAATATATAATATAATATAATATAATATAATTCATATGTATCAAATTGTTGTATTTTTTTTGTTCAAATCAGTGACTGAAATAAATACAATGTTATATTTACGAATAAACTGTTAAAAAGGAGATTCATTAGCGATAATAGATAGAGTAGTATTATTTTTTTGTTCCCTACGTTTTTATAGCAAAATTGAACATTTTATGATAATTTTATGATAATTTCGCTTTATTAAAAAAATAGTAAATTTTATATGTATTAAGTAATATTTTTTATTCACATTTTTACATTAAACAAAATACTCAGCAAACAAGATCAGCAGTAATTAGCAATAATTTATACGTTTCGTTAAATCAACTATTTCAAGCAATAGTTGAATATTTTGTCTTTAAGCTCTCTTTTCGTCTGGAAATATGATTCCTTGCTATTTTTATCTCTTAGTACATTATTTTATTTTATTCAAAGCGCAAACATTCGTTAGTTTGATTATATTTATTCAACATTTAAATCTCAACTTTCGTTTTACGCAAACATCTTTCTTCAATTCTATTATTATATTGAATCGAATTTCGATAGAAGTCTCGTCTTCAATATTTGATAAAACGTATTCTACATTTTTTATTTAGTTTCAGGATCATTGAAGCTGAATTTATAAAATTTAATTGCAATTCAATTCATCGAATACCAATAAAAAAATACATTTATGTGTGCGATTTAGAAAAAAGTTGACTTTTTTTTGTATTTCTATACCTATTAATTTCTATTTTGAAGGTAGAAGTGTGCAAATGCTTTTTCTATCTCTTTATAATGCACATATATATGTTTGATATATATTAATTATTTCTAACTTTCGAAGATACCGTTGACATTACTTTTGTGGATAAAATCTAGAAAAGAGTAAACGGTTTATATGCATATAATTTTCTATAAAGAGTTTAATATAAAAGTTGCAATTTTTTACTCACACGTTCCTTCAATTCCATTATTCCAGTATTATGCTGAAATAAACATATAATTGGAAATTGATTTTATATAAAATAAAAAAATAATATTTTCTCACCAAAAGTATAAGGAATGCCATAATGCATAATTCGACGAAAATAAAAATCCATAATATCTTTAAGTCTATTGTCCACATTTTATAGCAAAAACAAAATAGCGAAAACCGTATATTATTAATAATTTATATAAATTTTGTTTCTACTATTAATTTTTGTAGCGTAATTGATGAGTGATATTAACTTAAATCAATTTGAATATCGTCACTGTTTTATAATCATCTATCGAGAAATATCGCGATATATTGAAAACATAATAAAATCGCGCATAATATATCGCGCTAATTTCAATTTCTTATTTCGAAAGATGATAGAAACGAAAAGATCCTTTTATTCTCTTGATATAAAATTTAATATTTAAAAAACCTAATTTAAATCTAAACCTAGTTTAATTTGATAAAAATCTAATTTAAATGTCAATTAGAGCGCGATTCTTAATAAAGTGCGTAAAATTATATTAATATTTATGTTTATTTCAATAAAAAAATTATTTATATTATTAATACTTATAATAATATGATAGGTACAATAGGTACTTTGATATTTTTTTTATAAAGGGAGAAATTATTATTTATGATAATAACATGTTATATACATAAATAATTATATTATAAAATTATGTAATGTATTTTCGAGAAATTATTATATATATTATATAATCTCCGAGAATATATATAACGCCATATTTTAAAAATATACATTCCGGAATAATTGTTATATATATATAAAGAATATTTGTATATTATAAAAACCTATATACTATAAAAAATGGAACAATTTTTTTACATCAGATGAGAGCGTATTTCCATTTCAAAATCGTCAAAGTCTTTCATCGGATTGCGCGAATTTTATTTATAAAAAAGCAAGATTTAGGTACCCTGCTGACAGGTAGGGGTGCAAGGTAAGTGTCGCATTTCCTGAATTTATTAATAGATCGAAAACATGTTTTTCCAACAGCAACGGCAGTCGCGCAAAACTTTGCGCCGCTGCAAGTCGTTCTCGTCGTTTAATGCTGAGACAGGCCTATTCGAGATGCGTATGTTTGTCACTCGAGAGGAAGAGCACGAGGGGTTGTAACGGTGCGCGATTCATAACCTGCGGAGATGAGACTTCACGGAGATACTCGTCGGCAGACGCTGAACGCAAACTGTCATTCCTGTCATCCGGCGAGAAGGGTTATTCATCCGAAAGCTTTCCGCGCTTACCGTCCCAATCGCAGATCGTCATCGCCGGTGCAGGGACGGTCGCCAATTCGGTTGCCTATCACTTGATACTGAACGGATGGAACGATGTCCTCGTCCTGGAGCAAAATACGTAAAAATTCCTCTAATTTATAACTTGTTCTATCTCATTGTCAGATTTTCTAGCTTACAATTATCTTTTAGCTTTGAATATTGCATATCTAACAATAACAGAAAATTTATATATATAGTAATTAATTAATATATATTTAGAATTAGTGAAATAATAGATTCGTTAAATTGACTAGATAAATATTCTTTAAATATTCTAGAATTGGCAGTGGATCTTCACATTTTGGTTCTGGTACAATTGGGCTCTTTAAACCAATCTCTCGCAGAAACCTGATTGCATACAGCATCAAATTATATCAACGGTTGCAAGATATGGGCTATGATATAGGATTGAGACAGTGTGGTAGTATAAATTTAGCGCAGTCCAAGGATAGGATGGTAGCTCTTAAGAGAAGAATGGCCTACAACATACCCACTGGATTGCATTGTGAAGTACATAATTTATTTTTTATAATTTATCATGATACAAGTATATGATATGCATATAATATTGATTTAACATAACTGTACTGGTTACTTAAATCAACTGAAGATTATAATAGCTGTGAAGAATTATTGTGAGAAATTATATATATTTCTAATATATATTTTATAATAATTAGTTTATTATAATTAGTCATAATTATAATTAGTCACCAATAACATCAAATTGTTTTATTATAAGTAAAAAATACAATTATTAATACATTATAGATTTTGGGCAAGGAAGAATTGAAAAGATTACATCCGTACTTATGTGTTGACGATCTGGAAGGAGCAATTTTTGTACCGGAAGATGCTGTTGCTAATCTAAGTGCAATTTGTGAAGTCTTAGCAAAACTGGCAAAACAAGGAGGAGCACGATATATTGAACATTGTCATATAGAAGAAGTAAAGACTGAGAAAGGGGCTGTTAAATATGTCAAAACTGAACATGGTACTGTTTCTTGTGAATATTTCATTAATTGTGCTGGGATGGTAAATATATTTTTGTATTAGTTTGAAATATCTAATAATAATATTATAATAATAATATTATATAATATTTTAGTGGGCTCGTGAATTAGGATTAAGATGCACACCACCTGTCAGAATTCCTGCATATCCTGTGGAACATTTATATGCAGTTATACCGCCTTTGTCATCAAGAATTGATACATCTTTGCCATATGTACGAGATTTTGACTCGTATTCATATATGAGAGAATGGCAAGGTACATATCTCTTCTCTCATACACTGTATTAAACATGATTGATGGATAAAAAAGTATATGTTACATTTAGAACTGCATATATGATAATGATAAAATTAATATAATGATATATAGGCGGACTTTTACTTGGTTGGTTTGAACCTAATGCAAAACATGCATTTGGAAGCGGTAATGTTCCTTCAAAAAATTGGATGGAACATGTAAAAAGTGATCCAGCTCATTGGCAACCACTATGGGACAAAGTTATACATAGATTACCAATTTTAAAAGAAGTAGAACATCCAAATGTATATAATTGTCCTGACAATTTTACTCCAGATAGTAGATGGATATTAGGAGAAAGTCCTGAAGTAAAAAATTATTTTGTTGCTGTTGGAATGAATGGCAATTCATTGCAAGGTACTTTTTGAATATGTCTCTAATTTTTTTTTAATTTTTTTTATTGTACATTTTTATTATATATAAAAAACTTGATATTTTTAGCTATATATTTTTTTAAAAGGTGCTGGTGGAATTGGTAAAGAAATTGCTGAGTCTATAATAAATGGTGAATCCAAACAAGAAGTACTCCCATTCAATGTACAAAGGTTTCTAGATTTGCACAATAATAAACAATATCTACAGCAGAGAATGAAGGAAGTAGTCGGTCGAAATTATGCTATACTATATCCTCTTCAATCAGAATACAAATATGCTCGTAAATTACGTTGTTCACCTTTGTATTCTGTTTTGGAGGAACGTGGCGCAGTTTTTGGTATAAAAATGGCTTATGAGCGTCCACTTTATTTTGATTCAACTTATAAACGTAAGTTTTTTTAACAATAAAATTTATTATTAATATGTTTGACATTTACAAGTATTATATAAATTTAAAAGGAGGACAGAAAAAGCCGATTATGCCGAAAGGAAGTTTCTATAAACCAAAATTCTTCGATTTTATGAAGGAAGAATTTCAAGCATGTAGAGAAGGAGTTGGGATAATAGATATGAGTTCATTTTCAAAGATTGAAATAAAAGTAAGTGAATGATGTAATGATAAAATGGCAAAATTAGAAATTCTTTACTAATTTTTCTGTATAAGTCACATTTAATGACTTATACAGTAAGAAGTCAATTAATCAGTCAATTAATACAGTATATTAGTAATAAGTCAATTAATCAGTCAATTAATACAGTATATTAGTAATAAGTCAATTAATCAGTCAATTAATACAAATTTCAAATATGAGAAAAATTTATTTTCTATCTAAAATTTGATCATAGATGTGTAGTTTCTAGTTTCACTGATTCAAGTATGTCCTCATTCTAATAATTGATTTAATTATAGTCCAGTCATGAAGAAGTAGTAGAGTATCTACAACAATTATGTTCTAATGATGCTAATATACCAGTGGGCGGAATAGTTCATACTGGAATGCAAAATGAAAAAGGTGGTTATGAAAATGATTGTATATTAGTGCGACAGAGTGAAAATAGTTATTTCATGGTCTCACCGACATTACAGCAGACACGTATTTATCAGTGGATGTCTAGGTAGATAATATTTTGCTTCTGATTATAATCTCAAATGAAAAAACATACATAAATTTGAGATTAAATAAAAATTCAATTTTGTGTACTAATAAAAAAAATTATCACTATAGAAATATATATTTTGAGAAAAAAAATTGTCATTATAAGAATTAAATTTATTATTTCGATTTATTATTTCTCAAATTAGTATCCATTTGATTAAGCATAGTATTGTTATTAATATAATTATTATAATATATTATATATTAATATAATATATTAATATAATTTATTAATTATTTTATTGTTTTTTATTAATTATATATTTTATTAATTATTATTAATATTAATAATTAATAATATTAATATTATTAATATTATAATTAATCATTTTATCCAATAAAATAGACATTTGCCGGCAGATCATTTAGTAGGTCTTAATGATGTCACTTCAAAATACACAGTGATCAACATAGTAGGTCCCAAAGCTACTGAACTGCTTTCTGAATTATCCAATTCTGACATCAATCTTTCACCCTTCACTTATAAGGTCGGATCATTTTCTAATTATTGCTGGTAATGTTTTTTTTTTATTTCTTTTATATAGATATTTTAAATTAATAATGTTTTTGAAATTGTAGACAGTAAACATCGCATATGCTTCAGATGTTATGGTAATGGCATTTACACATACGGGCGAATCTGGCTATTGTTTGTACATACCTTCGGAATATGCGCTACATGTTTATTCAACATTAATGGCTATAGGAAAGGATTATGGTGCAAGAGATGTTGGCGTTCTTACACAACGTTTTATGAGGATAGAGAGATTTATTCCATTCTGGGCTGAAGAATTGACACCATATGTGACACCATATGAAGCTGGAAATGGCTATAGAGTAAAATTGAATGTTAATATCACAATAGTATATTTATTTTCTTATATTTATTTTCTATGTATACATTTATACATTTGAAGTAAAAAATGAATGTTTTTATTTTAATAGAGCATAATCGTTTTTTCTTTTTTATATTATAAAAGATTAAAAATAGAAAATTGTAAAAAAGATTAAAATATAGGAATAATATAGTTATACTAAAATAAATTCAAGACAGCAGAATTAGAATAAAATAGTTTAAAGAGAACTTAATATTAAATTTTATAATTATGCTGTACAGAAACAAAACTATTTTATTGGAAAATCTGCTTTACAACGTCAAAAGACGGAGGGAGTAACGAAACGATTAGTTTTATTTGTACTCAATGGTATGGATTTGAATAAAGATGTATGGGCATGGGGTGGTGAACCATTATATCGAAATGGTGAATTTGTTGGTACAGTTACATCAGCTGGGTAAATATCGATTTTTCTAGATATTGTATTATATTATCACTTACATATTTTACATTAGCACATTGTTATGTTACTATTACTCTTTCAGCTATGGTTTTGTAACAGAGAAACTGATTTGTCTTGGATTTATTAGTCTCCCTAAAACAAGACATGAGCAAGAGATACATGTTATTACCACAGACTTTATAATGGATCCAACAGCTCGTTATGAAATTGATATTGCTGGTACTAGATTTCCTGTTAAACCACATATCCATCCATTACCTATACCAGTATTAAGTAGCAAGTCAAACCAAAAGTATATTCCTACTCCAGTTATCTCATATCAAAGTGATGTTTCATGTTAGAAATAATACTTTAGTCATTTTTATATAATTTCCATTTGTCTGGAATTTATGAAACAAAAATGTCTAAACACCTGTAGTTCCTATGTGATAAATAATAATTCTTTATGTATAATTATGCATAATTCTCCTTTTATGTAAAAAATGTAATTATGAAATTAAAATATTAATATTCTAATTATGTGGCGCTCCTCTCTATTAGTTAATCTCCGATTTTTTATTAAAATTCTTCTTCTATTAAATTTCTTATAAAAAAATGACAGAGTAATGATTATAATTTAAGCATGGAGACTAGCCAAAGAAGTATCCTGGAAAATTAAATATTTTATTTTTTATTTAAAAGGAATTTTATCTATATATTAGATACATCTCAAAATAATTAAAATATGAATAATTTGCAATTTCTTAATTATCTATCATTAATGTTTCTCTTATTAAATTAGTTATATATTATATATGCATATTGTGTTAAATGGGTGATATTTAGCATCGAAAATTAGATATTTAGAACATTTTGTATATATACAATATATGTATACTTTGTGAATTATGTGATTATAATTTTAAACATAGTGATAATCATAAATATGATATTTTCCATATCACTATGTTTAAAATTATAATCACATAATTCACAAATATAGTCAAAATTATTATATTGGACAAAATATTTACTCTGTTATAACGTATTATTATTACAGCTAATAAATCAAGTTTATTACTATGATCATTATTACTATGATCATTTATTACTATGATCATTGCGCAAATTTTTCAGAAAACAAGTATATATAATAAGTATATATAATATTTCCTTTTCTATGCTGGACGAATATATATATATTTAGTGTTCTTTCATCCTCTTTCTTCTCTAACACGCATTCAAATCAGCGAAGAAAAGTGCTCCTTCTATAATTGTCGAATGTCATCCACCTGTCATTCTCGCTCGGAAGAACGATCACGCAATCGTTGAGTTTTCTACGCAGTGAGTCGCTCATGCGGAAATAATGCATGAATATGCATTAAAACGGATAATAAATGAGAAAAAATGCAAAAAAACGAACAATAAATGCAAAATAATGCAAAAAAAACGAATAATAAATAAAATATTCGGATGGATCAGCCTTGACGAAGTCGCGTCACTTCTATAGACCATGCATGCTTGTGACTATGCTTTCTCCTTTCTTTTGTATTTTATTGATACTGCGTTTTTATTCTGTCTCATTTGATTTATTTAATTTTTCTTTGTTTGTATTAGAATCACTGAAGAAGGCTCGAATCGAGTCCGAAACGTTTGGAATAAAGCGAATGGATCGTTAAAATTTAGTTGCTGTTTTGGAAATTATTTTATCCATGCCCTACAACTGCGTTGGCTCTTAACTGCCTTTCGATATTAATTTTGATTTGTTAATTTAGAGGAGCCTTTAACTTTGTTTATTTTATTTAAATAAAATATTCATTATTGGCTTGTCGTGTTTTTTTCAAAGTATGTATACGCGCTTTTCTCCTCGAATCGAATACTTACCGATCGCATATAAGCACCTTATGTTGTTGTCGACTAACTGACGACTAGCCAACTAGATAGATACACGCGAAATATCTGATGTTGCCTGTGTCATCAGGTCATATCGCTCAGGTACAATAAATTAACGTGACTCTTTTTTAGCGTCTTTCGCCACCGTCTTTCTTAGCTTCTCTTCAATAATGTATACATTGACAGATATATCGTTTAGAAACGCTCGAATCACTCGATTTCACTCAAACTCATGCGTAACTCCACACCTTCAAGATTCAACACTGTGGAATAATGCAGATATCGCAAACTTCTTTCACATAAATTCGACGTGAGATAAGAGTGACTGGTTCTTGGTGGCTATTGTCTTAATGGTTATTAATAATAAGTAAGCCGTTATTAATAATTTGTAATAAGTAGGTCGAACGAAATGAATGAAACGCCATTTTGTAGAAGAAATTTTTAAAATTTTATTACAATATATATGAAAAAAATATAATCTTTTAATAATTGAAATAACATCTTATAAAAAGGGCCTAAGAGTTTGCTTGCGCACATGAACTAATGATATACATCAGTGTTGTTCATCAGAATCGACAGAAAATTGCAATCGTTTTCGAAAACTTTGAAATACATTATCAAATGTGTTTATAGAAATGTTTCGAATGCATTTTCAATTGCTATCTATCAATTCTTCGATGAGAGAAACGACAACTGACTATTCAGATTTCTTTACTCCAAAAACCTTAATTTTGCTTGTTAATATACCCATTGGTCCAAAAATGAATTTCATTGGAAAAAAATAATCTTTTTCATGGAATTTCTCATTTTTAAACAGGACAGTCAATAAAACAAAAAAAAATAAAAATTAAATTAGCATATTTGTAGTACTTAAATTAGTATTTTAATATTACATACTTTTTAATATTACATATAATTTTAGTTAGTATTATATAGGATATTCGATAATACTCGTCGAAGTGTTTCTACTTAATTTCCCATTAATTATTGCAAAGATCGCAAAACGATAGAAAGGACTTTTCTATTCACAATCAGTTTAATCCGCTCTACTAACATACTACTTGGATGTGTATGAAAATTATCGGACACTCTGTATACACACATACACATATATGTGCAAAATATAAGCACATAAAATCGTAATTTTGTAAAATTATAATTATATATATATATATATATATATATATATATATATATAATTATAATTTTACATACAAAATTATGATTTTATGTGCTTATATTTTTTATTATTGCGAGATTGAAGAAACATTCGCATAAGTAAGATATATGGTACTTCTGCTATTAAGGACAATGCGTAAGCGCAAAGGTAACTAATCACAAAATATCCTATAAACATAATAACCTAAAAATTGATAATAAATGTTAAAAAGTTCTTGGTATGGTAGACGTTAATGAATAATAATTATAGAATTTTAGAGATAATCTTTACTTACTGTAGGCAGAATTTCCAAGTGAACGGATGTTTCACTAGATAAACGAATCGATTGTATGATAAAAGGATTTATAAGATAAACACAATAAGTAAGCCTGCTAAGAGGAATGAAGACTTTAAACGATAATAACTGATTTATGACACCTGTAACAAAATAAAACTTATATATCTATGTACATGTGTGATGATAACAATAAAATTTTTACAATTATGTAATTATTTTTCATACTTTATGCCAACATTTATTGAAAATAAAACTTATAAAAGAGTAAATTAAAAATAAATTAAATAAGAGATAAGTTATGAATATAATATAGTATAGTATGCGATAACGATTCGTTCTTCTCGCGAGGTAAGGGAGAGAGTAGAAGCTATGGTGCTAGTGATCAAATAGTTTTAATTTATTGATTCAATTCTCGATGGCCACAAAAAAGTACGCTGAATAAGAATGTACGCATTCGACTTATAATAATTATCAAAAATATTAAATCAAAAATAACATTAAAACGATATTAATATACAAAAAATTTAGAATTTTATTTAAAATAGTTTTTTTTGTGATCGATAATTAGGTCGATAAATCAGTGGTAGTCAATCGCTGCTGGCTGATGACGCTACGGCTATATACTTTTACGTTCCTTTTGCCCCGCGAGAGCAGCCATGGAACACGAATCGTTGTCGCGTACTGTATAATTTATTTACGTAGATTTTTATGTTCAAATATGTATGCTTATATTTTTTATATACATATACTAACCACCACGCTTAGAAAAACACGCTATTACAATCCATGCTATGCCTATAGCCCAAAGTGTTCTACTCAAAGCAACATAGATAGCAGAATATAGAATAGATACATTTCGTTTATAAAGGCCTATTAATGCAAAAATATTACACGCGCTACCAAAACACCAACATAAAATTACAGTTTCCTGAAAAAAATGCTTTAGATATAAAATATTATAATGTGACAAGAATAATATAAATATAGAATAAAAAAAATGTGTGTGTGTTTTATTAAAAATAGTATAAGATAAAAAGCAAAATAATATAAAATAAAAATAATATAATAATACAAGATTGGTTTTTGCATTTTTACTTTTTTTCTAAGTTTTTTCTATGTAATTAAAAATGACTACACTGGCAAATTTTGTGGTCGTTTTTAATTACTTCTTGTATTTTATTTACTGGCGACCTTCAAGAGTTTAATGTTATTTTTTCTATGTTTTTCTCTTTCTCATTTCTTTAATCTTATTAAATTCTTAATTTTCGAAAATAATGAGGATCCAGATTTTTTTTAAAATTTAAAAAAAAAATGCTGATACACATAGTACAAAAATAGCTGCAATGATAGTTTAATGATTATCGAATCAACAAATGTCATAATATTAAAATTTTTATGTGTACTTGCACAAAATCAAAGTGCGTATTTTTTTTTTGAAAAAATGCTAAGTGTTCTCATTACGGTACGTAATTTAAGAATTGAGAATTTATGATGTAAATATCACTTTGGAAATTTATTACGTGAAAAGTCAAAAATGTATATAAAACTGTATTATTCTTAAATTTTATTTCACATTTATGAGATATAGGTTGATATAAGGATTTTGTTTTACGTGAAAATTCGAAAATCTTTGCAAAGCTATATATTTTTAAACATTATTTCATATTTAAAGCACTACGATTAATTTACTTATCTATAATAAACAATTAAAATCTTCGAACGTTACTCAATTATGATTTTGATCACGTATTTCAAGTTTATTGAAATTGATGAGAATTGATGAGTTATATATAATATAATAATTTTATATACATTTCGCTTCATATTAATATATAAATATATGTATAAATATTTAATTAAAATATAAATATATTAATATACAAAAATTAATATATAAGTAATTAATTAGGATAATTTTTGTATTTTATAATTATTTTAATAATTATTTAATTGTTTATTTTTTTCATTAAATTCATATAAGAATAAAATTATACTTTACTTTTTTAAAGAAGAAAACCAATTTTTTATTTAGTCTTCTTATAATATAACCTGTAATTATGCCAATAATATATGGTCCTATTCTGATCCATGGAGGGAAATAGAAGATACTTCTAAGTCTGTATTGTTCATCTAATCTACAATAAAAATAGGGTTTATTTAATTATTCTCATAATTATAATAACATTTCATATTCTGAACATAATATCTTATAAGCGTCATAACATATTCTAATTAGCATTTTTATCACTTACGTCGGGATATATTCATAACTATATGAAATATAACCGGTAAGCACAATAGAACCTATTAAAAGTGTACCCAATATGAAAACACTCATGTAAAAGTATCTGAAATTAGCAATATATATTTATTTGTATGCTCAGCATATGTTGATTATAATACCTTTAATTTATCAATAAATCAACTTACATAGTTGACAAAATCAATAGTATTGTAGCAATTATAAAGTATTGCATATCATTGGCTAAATACCAACTCCAAATCATACACTATAAAATTTTAATATTTTCAAAATAATATATTTGAATTATATAAAAATTTTAATGTTTTGTAAATAATACAGTTAATTATATTTTAAATATGATTATATACCATTCTATCTGAATCGAACAGATTATTTATGTATAAAAGATTTTTCCACCAATATTGTGCGCAATTATGCATATCAGTTGGAAAGTGTGAATTTTTGTCGTACCAAGTCGAATTTAATTGCAGGATTCCTATCATCAGCATGTATGCAGGTGTCAACCTTAAAATAAATAATTTTGAGATATATCAAAATATATAAACAAAAAAAAGAAATATCGATTTTATTTGTAAATTGTTTTTTTATATGCATTGTTCTTGTTTATTGTCTGTATAAGTAATGATAATGAAAAACGTACCGAATAAATCTTTTTATTACATGAATAAAGAATTCATTTAATTTTTCTTTGTAATTAGTCGATGTAACTTTTCTTTTATCCATTTTGTCCTTCAAATATAAATAAGATACTAAAAGCCCACTTGAAAAAAAGTAAGTATCCACTGGTACGACTGTATTGATTGATACATGAACGAAGAAGTTCAAGGTCCTTTTCAATATTGATGTTTTATTATCTATACGAAATAATCTCTATTGTACGCACAAATATCTATACTATAATTAGATCGCTAACTTTCATTGATTTTATATATAAAATGTCTCCGAAAACTATGTAATATGACGGTCGCGTATGCGTAATATTGGTAGAAAACTAATATGATGGATCTATAATCAGCTAATATTTAAGTTTTCATCTGAAAATTGTACTTTTTACATCATAAACTTTTAATTATGTAATAAAATAAATATAAATATATATAAATGTTACATACATATATTTTTAATCTTTATATATTTTTAATCTTCTATATTTTTAATCTTGATTTTAATTATATCATATATCTTTTAAATATATTTTAATATATTTTATTTTTAAAGCTTATAACAATTCTTTAATTAAAAACAAAGAAGATTATATATTATTATATATTATTATATATTAAAGATAACTTTTATTCAACTGTAAGTTTATACACAAATTACATACTTATATACATTGTATACAACATCAACCAACATCACAAACGTGACTGCTGTCTACTAACGTTATGCACCCGTAAGGATTTAGTAAATAAATTTTGTGTATTTGGCGCATTAGCGGTCTAGTATACAGTATAGATTTTGTGATTATACGTCGAAAACGTAATATACAGGGTGGGTCATTTTAATCCGTCCACTCAAATACTTTTATGTACAAAATAATGAGAGTGATCAATTGGTAGAGAAAACACACAGTCGTTTTTAAGAAAAAATATGTAATTGTTAATTGCAAATTAATTATTAAGGTAAGATAATAAAAAATGAATATTTTACTAGATATTTTATGGTTTATGTAAAATTAAGATATTATTTTAAGCTTCATAATTCGAAAAGTACACAATGAAAAAATATTTTATTATATAGTGCTTTGGAAAGTTCTCGAGACATGCTACAAGAATATGCAATAAAAAAATAAAAGTTTTAATTTAAAAAATTCAATGTAACGTTGATATGATGTGACCTTAACAACGCCACCCAAGGTCTAACTAATATTTCTATCATCTGTTCTCCTCAGAACGAAAAAACTTTTTTCTAAAAAATTTTCTTCTAAAATTCATAGGTTTGGAGATATTTGAGTGGACAGATTAAAATGGCCTATCCTGTATATATGTATATATATATATATATATATATATATATATATATGTATATATATATATATATAAAATTTCTATAAGTTTTTTCCATATTACTCACCGACGTAATCCAACATGAAAAATACGGTATGCAAAATAATTAGCCAACTCATAACTAAAAATTTTAAACCGTGAAGGACAGGTATTTCGTCAGCATTCAATTTCGTGTTTAATATTATTTTTGTATTTGTGTATATGGAAAAACACATTAATATTTGTCCAGTTCTACTTTCTCGATGTAAAAATGTTATTTCCATTTCCTCGGATATGTTCTTCATATCTGAATCACAATACAGAATTTTATATACAATAGTATATTTATATAAAAAATCAACATATGCTCAATATTATAAATAAGATCTGTTGTTGAAAAAAATTTTTAAGTGATTTCAAATACAATACTTACTAGCAGTAGTTTTATCCGTTACAATGAAATATTTTTGATGCACAAATATATCATATGTTGTTCCGATTATCATCATAGAAAAAGTAAGCGCTAAAACACTATAATTATAAAATAAATACAAAAGGTATATCTGTTATTTCAAAATATTTGGATGTTATATAAAATTATTTATCTTAAATATATTAATATGTGCTAATAAAATATAATTATTGATAAAGTTATTATTATGCCATTATTAATTATATATTTTGTTCGTATTTTTTGACATACCAGATAAAAAATATTGCATCCTTAAATAACTCTCGCTGATTATATTTTAAATTTTTAACTTCGACCAATTTGAAGTCTACAGAATAAAGGTCATTAACAAAAAAAGCTCTATCACGAAATATTTTTTCCAGAATTAAAGTTAAGTCATTTATAGAACATGATGCCGGTAAACAAAGACCGAGCGTAACAAAGTCCTAAAACAAAATATTTTGTATAGTTAATATTACTATATCATACATGTATACTAGGATTAATGATACTTCAAAAGTTTCAACATTCGAACTTCGAAACTTCGATATTAAAATCTTTAAAAATTGGAATTTAAAAATTCAAAGTTTTAAATCTTCGATATTTTGATAATTCAATCTTTGAAGCTTCGTAAGGACACATATCAATATACATTATTTGATAATTTCAGAACAGAAAATATTTTTAGTAAATATTTATTTTAACTTAGCCCTCACCAATGACTTTGACCTTAACATAAGGTCCTGAGTAATTCTCAAAAAGTTTTAATTGTCGCTCGTTGTTTATTAAAAAAATTGTAAACAAAAAGGTTTCACAAATTTTACATATTTTTCGAACATAATTTCTGATTTAAAATCGATTAGATTTAGATTAGGTTTGATTATATCTTCCGGAAATAAAGTCTCCCCGTAAGGGAGAGGAGATGGAACCCACATATGTACTTTGCAAAATGCAGCAAAATTCACTCTCAGTAAGGGTCAAGATTAGATGTAGAGTGAACTTTGTTTCGTCTCATAAAAAACATGCGCGAATACAATCGCCCCTCCCTATGGAGGGTTTTATTTCCGGAAAATATAATCTAATCCAAACATATTTCTGATTTAAAACTAAATTTTGGCTTAGATTACGTTATATATATATATATATATATATATATATATATATAATACGTTATATATATATATATATATATATATATATATATAATATGTATATTTTGCAATTTTCGCAATAATTATTGAAATATTGATTAAGAAAATCTAGCGAATGAGCAGACCGAGAACGTGAGATGTATACTCTAGGTATATCAACGAGTATCACATGGTAACGAGAAATTTGGTTGTGCGTTCTTCGACTTTTGTCTTTTCTTGATTGTAATATGTAAATATAATTGTTCTGAAACTTTTATTCCAAATAATTTTTTATTTTGTATAGTTTTTGACAGTATTGCTTGTCGATTAAAATGGGAAATTTAAACATATACTGTATTCTATACACAAATATGTACAGAATTTTTAAAAGAAAGATATATTTTAATATATAAGAATGAACATATAAAATCTAGGATTAATTTATTACATATCATTGCTACAACTTTATAAAATAAAAATTTAAAAATCTCTATGTAAATATATATTTACTAGCTTAAATTTAATTTAATACTCTTTTTAGCTAATTTTATAATACTTATCTTTTAAAAACTTACTTCATTCCCAAAATTGATGTGGTATTGTAAAGTACTATTATGTTTGAAATTAATAACAAAGTAATTTACTTTGAAAGGTGGAAATTCTTCTTGTGGATTACGATATATTGTATTATTTAATATCTGCTGTTTAGCGATGGGTAGAGGATATCTATTTATGGTATCAAGACATTGCTCTTGATTACCTAGCCAATAATTATTTCCCTGAAGAAAGCCTGGTTTATATTCACCGCTAGAATCCAGCACTTAAACATATAGAAGTAATTGTTATTTAAATAAAAATATTATTTACTAATTATAAGATCAAGTTCCAAATAAAGAATTACAAATGAAGAAAACTGCTTTACAAGTGTATGAAGTATACTACAAAATAAGTATATTTAAAAGAGAGAATAAAAATAGTGATATAAAAAATTGTGCCCTCATAATTGCATCAAGAATAAAAATCTAGTAAGTTTAAATCGAAATACTTTAATTGAAAACACTGTTGTACAAAATAGTTGTTTTAATTTTCAAAAATAATAACATTAAATTAAAACAAATAATATTAAAAATAAAAAATTTATCTAAAAATTAAAAATTGAAAATTGTAAAATGAATAAACAAATATAAAATTATGTCAGATTTATACAGGAAAGCTCTCGTAGCTGGAAACTGTAGAGTACCCGATCGGGAAGTGAATAAGACCGCGTGATCAGTCACAAAGATTTGAGACATTTATTCAGTAATAACAATGTCAAACAAGAATAATCAATGTTCGCAAGAGAGTTCATAATTTTTAGTATAGAATTTCTTGGCGAATTGATGCTTTACAAATGCAAAGCTAAACAAATTGTACAAATGTTGCCGCGGGGGCGTTGGTTGATCGCCAGGCGCACACAACAAGCAAACGAGAGCGTTAACAATATGAGTGAGTGATAGCGTTTACAAGAGCGGTTGGTCGAATAATTTTGTAACCTGCTTAATTTCGAAAAAAACACTGTTACCTTAATAATAAATTCACAATAAGCGGGATCACGATAAAAAAAAGAAAAAAAAATCAAGTACAAAAATACAATAGACTGAATTTGTACTAATTTGTATCATCATAAAATTTAATCTTTTGTATTTTAATATCGTTTCTTTTATTTTTCGGTCTGCCGCGCACTAGATTCATATTAACATTACTGTTCATTGTGAACTGTTCATTGTGAATTGTTTGAGATGAACTGTTTCTTATGAAGAGCTGTTCGATTAAAGAGCAATTATTTAAAAAATCGACTTTTAAAAGATATGCGTCTTCTTTGATAGATATCGAAAAGCCGCATATGACTCGCGGCGATTCAAATTCGAAGATATCAAGTTACTGCTGCTTTTCGCTCGCTTAAAAAAATCATTTGAAGAAAATTTATAACTTAACAAATATTTTAAATATTATAAATATTTTATTTAACTTTACAAATAAAAGGCGGCATATCTTTTCCAAACGCTTTGATATGGAGAAGCAGCGGCAACTCGACTAAAAAGTCGCGTAATTTTTTGTATCATCGAATTTAAGTCGCTGCGAGTGATTCGGCTTTTCGAATCTATTAAAGACTTCCAGAGAATGGCGTATCTTTTAAAAGTCAATGTATGTAAAATTTTTTTTTACTCGTAACCTTTTTGAGTTATGAAGTAACCATGGTTTTTTTAAATGAATATCTATAATTTTTTTTACATATTTATATAATAGAAGTCATTTGCAATCATATCTAGTAAAAAATTGCTACATATGTATCGTTTACGAAATAATCGGCATCTTTAGTATCTAAATATTAAATATTAAATTTATTTTAAAAAACATGTTCATTTTTATAACTCGAAAAGATCACAAGTAAAAAAAATTTTTTTACATGCACTTTGTAGTTGACTCAGAGCCGTGGAAATTTCTCTTATTAAACTTTTTTGTAACTTCGATCAATTGCGAGGTATTTGGACACATATGAACATATATGACTGACCCTCTTTCCATTACATTGTCAAGCTATTGTGTTAATTACGTCAATTTCGTCACATTCGTCTCTCCGTCTCCATTTCGGTTTCATGTCGATATTTTTCATGTAATTTTGATGTGATACGATTTTCAGTACGTGACGCTCAATCATTTAATAAATTTCGTGATTACTTTTGGATGGAGATCGCGAATCGAGCCGAAGGTGTATCATGTAATCACCGTACGACTCCATACGGTCCAGATAAAAAGCATGATCACAAAAAAAAAAATATATATATATATATATATATATATATATTGTGATCTTTAATTAAAATTACTTATAATTACTAATTATTAATAATTTATTAATTATTAACATTAAATTCTTGAAAGTCGACAGTAGATAAAATAAAAGATGTAATTAAATTCGATCACATTGGCAATTTTATTGATGGTAAAGAATTACAACGTTTCGACCATAGATTTTGGTCCTTTTCGAGTGAACTACAAAAATATTTTCAATATTACAAACAAAAAATAAATTACATTGATTTTGAAATAAAAAATGAGCAAAAAGTTATATACATACAGTAATTTCCTTATTTCTCACGATATAATAGTTAACTAAATTACTGTATGTATACAACTTTTTGCTCATTTTTTATTTCAAAATCAATGTAATTTATTTTTTGTTTGTAATATTGGAAATATTTTTGTACATAGTTCACTCGAAAAGGACCAAAATCTATGGTCGAAACGTTGTGATTCTTTACCATCAATAAAATTGCCAGTGTGGTCGAATTTAATTACGTCTTTTATTAATTATTTTTCCTCTGTTGTTACAATGACGGAAAAAGACAAGTTTAATTAACTTTAATTACAATTTTTGTAACAATTTATAGAATAAATATATAGAATAAATGTAAATAATTGTTCGTCAATTTCTTCTAATTATCGATTCTTTTCCTAAAATTATAATTACATAATAAATATATAATTTTACTTACTTTTTAAGCTCCATAATATTCGTTGATCTACAGCGTCTTTAAAATTTTGTAGTTCTTTTCCACATATAATTGAGCTAACAAGATTGGATCTCGAAGCAACTATATAAGCGGGTAGAACATTGTTATTAACTTTTTCAATATTCTGCCCGCTGTATTCAATCTTGTTATATTTATTATTAATTTGAGCATAAACACAAATTAATGTGTCAAAATTTATATAAATACATAAAATAAACACAAATCGATAAAATAACATAATGCAGCTATAACACAATCACTTATATTTTTTATTATTATAAAATATTAGCGAATATCTCCTGGTATAAATTTTGACGGGCGTTTGTATGACACTGCTCCATTAATCACGTCTGCAGTCGATTTATACTTTTCCGCCGATTTTTATTACAACTATCCCTACTTTTATGACTATCCCTACTCTTCTTATTTTCCAGCATTTAGAAAGATATCTATACATAGCAGCATCAAATGCCGAGCGTCTGCGCAGAAAACTATTATCCCATATAGCATCCTATGTTCAAAAGACATTAACAGGACATCCTGAAGATGTCTAATCGCCCAAAGATATCTTCTGGATACTTTCTGGACATCTTTTGGATATGTATGCTATGTGGGTATTGGTGTTATTACGCAGGATTTGGAATGATTTAGATTCCAGCTTCTTACGACCATGATCCTACAATAGATAACAAACACAAATATAGCGAGCACATGAAATAAAAAAGATTAGATATTCGCGGTGATGAAGAAGGTTCAAGCTCAGCAAAGATATTACCTGTCAATCGCATGAGATGCATATTATCCGTGTATTGTTAATTTATTTAGAGAATTATTATTATTATGGGTTAAACTTCCGAAAACCGATTATCTCTGATTTGAATGAAATTTTGTAAAAAGCTTTCTTTTAGCTTAAAATACAAGCCTGTAAAAGGAATTTTGGCGACTTCTACAAAAAAGTCATATTTTTAAAGAAAATGGTGAAAAATATAAGGGAAATATATATAATAAGGGAAATATATATAATAAGATAGTTAAATATAAATAAGGTCGCGCAACAAGCCAAATACACACACACACACACACACACACACACACACACATATATATATTACATAGGGTGATGTTATGTCAAAGTTAAGATCATTGAGTCTTGATTTTTTATATCGATTTTTACGATTTTTAGTGATTTTTTATTTAATTATTTTTTATTAAATTACTTTTTAATTATTGAAAAGCCACGGTTATGACCTTAATACCTGACCTTCGTATGATCCCCTGAAGCCATCTGAAAAGGTCGGGCCCGATCGAAGGGGTATCCCCCATTTGAAAAAACAGTTCTATTTTTCATAATTTTCTTTTAAAAAAATGACTTTTTTTGTAAGAGTCGCCAAAATTCCTTCTACAGGCTTGTATTTTAAGCTAAAAGTAACCTTTCTACAAAATTTCATTCAAATCGGAAGTAATAGGTTTTCGGAAGTATACCCTTATTATGTTATATAGTTAAAAATAACATTAAAATGGAATACGTATGTTAAGTATATATATATATATATATATATATATATATAAAGTCTGTATATAAATTTATTATACATCCATTATTTAACATCCACTTTATATTTCAATATAATTATAATAAGTGATAATATTAATTTTATACGTGTATCTTATTATATAATAAATTTATACATAGACTTTTTATGTGTATATATAAATTTATATAATAAGATACACGCATAAAATTAATATTATTACTTATTAACTATTTAAAATTATAATTAATTAATTTTAAAATTATATGATTTATTTTATTTTGTACACTATTCGAATTAAAATTTTTTAAATCTTGTTGATATCGGGTTCGATTCGTCTCGCGCGCGCGAATGATACCCTAAATTATTGTGTTCGCACATTTAACAAACTCCAATGATGCATGTATTTTATTATTTATAAATATAATCGTTCGTAATCACATTACTATGAAAAAATCATTATATCCATTTAATTTTCAATAAAAAAATATATTGCTTAATAATAAAAGAACATGTTTTCTGACGTGCATATCAATTTTGTGAATTGAAGACAATGACGAGGTATAATTGTTTCGTCGTTGATATATTACTGAAATCATTTCTCTATTGGAAATAGTCCGGAAGATCCAGGATTCGTTTCCTCCTATAATGAAGTTCCCGACGTTGGATCACTTAACTTTTCTTCGCAGATTGATCTTGCGAAATCTGATGTAGAAACAAGATGTTAATCGTTCTTCATTTTTAAGATCGCACCTCTTTTTATCGAATATTTTTATCGAATATTTTATTATTTATATCACTCGCGTATCTGATGACTTCGATTATTATATTATAAAAATTATGTGCAATCGAATATTGACTATATTAAAATGGAACATGAATTCTTTATATTTTATATAAAGCAAGAGACTTAAAATATTTTGCAATATATATATTTCAACATATATTTTTCGAGTCCAAAATATTTTGCAACATATATATTTCAACATATATTTTTCGAGTCCTAATTATAGAAACTTTAGAAGAATCAGTAATTAATTTGACAAATTCTATACATGTATTAATAATAAAATTTTTAAATAATAAAAAAAATGATTGATAGATATCAAAGATTTACTGCTAATTAAAAAGATTGATAGAAATACGATTAAAAATGTTTTTATCCCACAGCAGGCATCCCAGGTAGAACATGAAATTCATAATGACATCATTACGACGTCATCTAAAAATCACCTAAAAGTTTTTAGATAAATCATAATGATCTCATTTGATATACTTTTGGTAATGTTTTGGTGGACTTATTAATATCATTTTTTATATATATTACGCAATTACTTATTTATTTAATTATTCATGTATATTTTAATTATATTTAAGCAACATAATTTTTTTAAAATTATATAATGCGATTATTGAACTTAAAAATTTATTATTCTTTTTGTCATCTTTAACTCATTTTTTAATCATTTTTGTTTAGATAAATTTTAAGTAATAAATAAAATCATGATGATGTCATTATGAGTTCTACCTGAGATTTTATATTTTGTAAATAGGGAAAAAGATATAAATATGACAATGAATATAAAAAATTATTTATTTCATCTTTGAAATATTATAGTATCTTTTGCGATTGAATAATTTATTTACTATCAATTTACATAAGTATCTTGTTATACAGCAGTGGTGCTACCGACATTTCGTGCACATAGCACGGAACAAAACCAGAAATTGTGCACATTATAGATTACCCTCTGAAAACATTCATGGACTTTGGCTTTGTAGTTCATGTCCACGTTTCAATGTCCATAGAGTATCGCTTTCAGGGATCACCTAAAAGCAGGCCATGACATCTCTCAGTCTTCTCTCTGTTGGTATCTTTATTTTCACGTGATGTTTTTTAAAGCGGCCTTTTCATTGACGCTAAAAAGTAGCGTCAACCATTGGTTAAACAATGAAGCAACTACTTACTTTTTTGTTCAACCAGAGAGAAACCTGAGAGCGGCCACCGAGCTTTAACGGGTATATTGTCCTAATGCGCTCCCTGACAAAGTGGACGTCAACTACATCCATTGCAGTCGATAATAATACATGGTTCGTGTCTGAGCTATGGTTCATGTCCAAGCTATGGAGTGACCCCAAAAGATACTCCCTCTATGGACATTCAAAACATGGACATGAACTACAAAGTCAAAATCCATGAATGTTCTCAGAGGGTAATATATAATTGCACAATTTCTGGTTTTGTTCCGTGCTATGTGCACGAAATGCCGGTAGCACCAGTGCTATATAACAATTAAATACTTATGTGTGTAAATTGATAACAAATAAATTATTCAATCGCGACAGATACTGTAATATTCAAAGATGAAATAAATATTTTTCAAAATAAATTGGTAAATAATACGGCTCTATGTATTTATCAACATGATAATTAAGTAAAGAGCATTAAGAGCCCACAAAACGCGGATGGCAATGCGTAAATTATTTCGAACATTAATTGTTCGCGAAATTTTTTTTTTTTTTTTTTAAATGCGTTATTAGGAGAATATGATTTGTAAAGAGATCATCAACGCATCTTCGACCTCCTCGCAAAATATATTCTCCTGATAATATAAAATAATAAGAAACGAATTTTCGAAAATTTTCACGCTTGCGTTATTAGGAGAACATGATTTGTAAAGAGGTCATCAACGCATCATCGACCTCCTCGCAAAATATATTCTTCTGATAATATAAAATAATAAGAAACGAATTTTCGAAAATTTTCACGCTTGCGTTAATAGGAGAACATGATTTGTAAAGAGGTCATCAACGCATCATCGACCTCTTCGCAAAATATATTCTCCTGATAATATAAAATAATAAGAAACGAATTTTCGAAAATTTTCACGCTTGCGTTATTAGGAGAACATGATTTGTAAAGAGGTCATCAACGCATCATCGACCTCTTCGCACAATATATTCTCCTGATCATATAAATTAGAAGAAACGAATTTTCGAAAATTTTCGCGCTTGCGTTATTAGGAGAACATGATTTGTAAAGAGGTCATCAACGCATCATCGACCTTCTCGCACAATATATTCTCCTGATAATATAAAATAATAAGAAACGAATTTTCGAAAATTTTCACGCTTGCGTTATTAAGAGAACATGATTTGTAAAGAGGTCATCAACGACCTCTTCGCACAATATATTCTCCTGATCATATAAATTATAAGAAACGAATTTTCGAAAATTTTCGCGCTTGCGTTATTAGGAGAACATGATTTGTAAAGAGATCATCAACGCATCATCGACCTCCTCGCAAAATATATTCTCCTGATAATATAAATTATAAGAAACGAATTTTCGAAAATTTTCACGCTTGCGTTATTAGGAGAACATGATTTGTAAAGAGGTCATCAACGCATCATCGACCACCGCGCAAAATATATTCTCCTGATAATATAAATAATAAGAAACGAATTTTCGAAAATTTTCACGCTTGCGTTATTAGGAGAACATGATTTGTAAAGAGGTCATCAACGCATCATCGACCTCCTCGCAAAATATATTCTCCTGATAATATAAGATAATAAGAAACGAATTTTCGAAAATTTTCACGCTTGCGTTATTAGGAGAACATGATTTGTAAAGAGGTCATCAACGCATCATCGACCTTCTCGCACAATATATTCTCCTGATAATATAAAATAATAAGAAACGAATTTTCGAAAATTTTCACGCTTGCGTTATTAAGAGAACATGATTTGTAAAGAGGTCATCAACGCATCATCGACCTCCTCGCAAAATATATTCTCCTGATAATATAAGATAATAAGAAACGAATTTTCGAAAATTTTCACGTTTGCGTTATTAGGAGAACATGATTTGTAAAGAGGTCATCAACGCATCATCGACCTCCTCGCACAATATATTCTCCTGATAATATAAATTATAAGAAACGAATTTTCGAAAATTTCACGCTTGCGTTATTAGGAGAACATGATTTGTAAAGAGATCATCAACGCATCATCGACCTCCTCGCAAAATATATTCTCCTGATAATATAAATTATAAGAAACGCATTTTCGAAAATTTTCACGCTTGCGTTATTAAGAGAACATGATTTGTAAAGAGGTCATCAACGCATCATCGACCTCCGCGCAAAATATATTCTCCTGATAATATAAATAATAAGAAACGAATTTTCGAAAATTTTCACGCTTGCGTTATTAGGAGAACATGATTTGTAAAGAGGTCATCAACGCATCACCGACCTCCTCGCAAAATATATTCTCCTGATAATATAAGATAATAAGAAACGAATTTTCGAAAATTTTCACGCTTGCGTTATTAGGAGAACATGATTTGTAAAGAGGTCATCAACGCATCATCGACCTTCTCGCACAATATATTCTCCTGATAATATAAATAATAAGAAACGAATTTTCGAAAATTTTCACGCTTGCGTTATTAGGAGAACATGATTTGTAAAGAGGTCATCAACGCATCATCGACCTCTTCGCACAATATATTCTCCTGATCATATAAATTATAAGAAACGAATTTTCGAAAATTTTCACGCTTGCGTTATTAGGAGAACATGATTTGTAAAGAGGTCATCAACGCATCATTGACCTCCTCGCAAAATATATTCTCCTGATAATATAAATTATAAGAAACGAATTTTCGAAAATTTTCACGCTTGCGTTATTAGGAGAACATGATTTGTAAAGAGGTCATCAACGCATCATCGACCTCCTCGCAAAA